TTGGGAACTCGGTATGAGATGGAGCACACTGTTGAGATGTCCAATCTGCCTGTTTTACACACTTTGACCAACAGGGGGTTTGTGTTCAAATGAAGCCCATGATGAAGCCTCATGAGATGAACCCTTTTGCGAACCAATTGGCTGGAAAGTTTCAAAGCTTCATAAGGCTTCATCTCGCCATCACTACCGGCAGGCAAGCAGCAGCAACATGAAACACAGCAGCAGCAACATGAACGCAGCAATAGCAAGTGAACACAGCAGTGGCAGCAGGCAAGCAGCAGCGACGTAGAGGTAGCTGCAGCAATAGCAGCAGCAAGCAATGCATGGAGAGAGATCTGGCAGGTTAAATAGAGCGGCATATTAAGGAGACTCTCTTTGGTTGGTTGTAGAGTGGCAAGGGGCGTTATGTATGAATGCAGCATAAGTGCTCGAGTTGACTGCCTGAACTAGCTCGCAGGCTTCGCCCCATGTATGGGATCTCTGCTGATAGCCAAAGATATATAATGTATGTAAATTTGTTACATGATATGCTAGAGAGGCCATGATTTCAGACAAACATTGTCACATGAAAATATAGAAATCCACCAAAATTGTTCCATGTTGCAAAAATTAATCCTACAATTGACCAAATTGGGATTTTACATGAGAAAATTGCCTGGCCCTCTAAGTTTGACTTGGACATGGGGGGGGGTGGGGTGGCTATCAAACCCGTGTGATAGAAATTGAAGATGTTGGCTTTATTAAATTAAATGTATGGTAAATATCTTTTCAGGATCACAATGTGACAATTTCCATACTAGCCACAGACTGCCACCCTGCAGTGCAGAAGATGCTACGTGAGGACCACAAGACCATCAAGCATGAGTTTGACTTGTGGCACATTGTGAAAGGTGTGAAGAAGCGGATGCTGCAGAGCAGGAATACCGAGCTGAAGGAATGGGTGCGCATGGTATCCAACCATCTTTGGTACTGTGTGTGTACATGTGATGGTGACGCGTTACTGCTGAAGGAGAAATGGACGTCCATCCTCCATCATATCATCAATGTTCACGAGTGGCTGTCGGCAGAGAAGATGCTGAAGTGTGAACACGAGCCTTATTCTGAAGAGGATGGGAGTTCCCGACCTTGGTTGGAGCGTTCATCCAAGGCCTTTGGCACTCTACAGAAAGTGGTCATGGACAAGAGACTGTTGAAAAAACTAGATAAGGTATTGTCTTAATTGCCCTTCTTCATTTATATATTCTGGCCTTATAAATTCACCACAAAGCAGTATATTTATCTAAAGAGAATATATTCAACGGATGTTGTACTGAACAAACAGTAAAATATGAAATTGAAAATATGTATAAAAAAAAAAATACAAACACATGCATAATTAATATCAGTATTTGAATTATCCACCAACCATGGGTGATTATTCAATAGTGATGTTTGAGAATTGCATGTCTGGCATCTCTCGACTCCAATAGTTCGCAATCTGACAAATTAAGTAATAACAAAAATGCTAAATAATGCTGACATTCATGACCCACTCTGTTCAATTGCAGGTTACAGAAGGGATCCATACTGGCGAGCTGGAGAGCATCCATTCTTTGTATACAAAGTATGTTCCAAAGCGCAAGAAGTTCACAGAGGAGAGCTTTCAGGCACGCCTCGCTGCATTGGATCACAACCCCAACATCGACCGTGAGCAGGCACAGACCAAGAAGGGGGCACTGCAGTTCAAACTGCAGTACTCGAAGCCTGCTGGAGGATATGTGGTGAAGGCGATGAAGACACCAAAAAGCTACAACTTCCGAAGAGAAATCATGGTAGGGGTAGTCGAGAGGTGTTTATCAGCATCGTCCATGAGGTCCGAACTTGCAGAACACCGTCATACAGATGCAGAGAAGGAGAAAAGGACACTTGGTGCGCATAAAGGCCTGGTAAAACCATCGAAGGAGGATGCTGTGGCACACCACCTAAGTCGATTTGTGAACAAGTAATGTCGGTCTCTATTGGCGCGTTTCCACTGCAGCGGGTAGCTCGCTTTAAGCGTGCCGAGCCGTGCGAGGCCCGTTTTTGGTTGCGTTTCCACTTGGCCTAGTTTTGGCCCGGGGCTACTTTTTCACCTTTTTTCTGGCCCGACTAAATGGTGGTTCTAGGGCCAGGAACAACCAGGCTGAGTCGGGCTGAGTATGCTAAACTAGAGAGAGAATCGCTGGCAAGGGGGCTACAACTACAACATGATGAACATATTTGACCGTGATTTAATTGTATTACACGTTTCAAAATGATGCCGAAGTAACAACATACTGATACCGGTTAGTAAAAACCATGAATTAATGCGTTGACAAGTCTGCAGACAGTCGGCAGGCGAAAAACCCTTTTAAAATGCGTGTTTTCTAAATGTAGCTTGGCTAAGCTAACGTTATATATGCTCCGACTGTCCACACTCACAACAACGGCCTATACAGACATAAATAAACCAGCAACTGTATTCACCATGACACAGGCAGTCTGTGGTTTGTACTTGTTTAACTTTTGTCTAGTTTCTGAACAGATATGAGGAGCTGTGAGCTCTGAGTGCTAAGAGCTAACGGCTGTGTTGTTTTTCTGGGGCTCTCATTGAAGATGACGTCACGGCTCCGCCTACACTGCGTTACTATAGTAACTGCCCCAGTTCCTAAACTGTAATGGAAACGCAGCATTAAAGTGAGCCGGGCCTAATAAGGCCTAACCAAACCAAGCGAGGCCGAGCGAGGCCTGCAGTGGAAACGCGCCTTATGTGTCTGTCGTATATATGAAGTCAGCCTGTGGGGCTCAATGTGTCTGTGGTGTATGAAGCTTAGTCAACCTGTGGGGCTCTGTGGCAAATAAATAAAGGACGTCTATGGCTGAAGTAATATATGCTGGTAGTATTTGTATATT